CAACTCCCAGAATTCCCCAGCCAGCTATGCTGGCTGGGGAATTCTGGGAGTTGAAGTCCACAAGTCTTAAAGTTCTCAAGTCTGGGAGTTGAAATCCACAAATCTTAAAGTTCTCAAGTCTGGGAGTTGAAATCCACAAGTCTTAAAGTTCTCAAGTCTGGGAGTTGAAATCCACAAGTCTTAAAGTTCTCAAGTCTGGGAGTTGAAATCCACAAGTCTTAAAGTTCTCAAGTTTGGGCACCCCTCCCCTAAGTGATCAAAGTTCAGGTGCTTGGCAACTGTCTCGTATTTATGACGGTTGCCGTGTCCTGGAATCACGCGATCCCCTTTTTGCCACCTTCCGAGTCAATGGGGAAGCCAGATTTACTGAACCACCCTAATTGAATAACTTCAGCGATTCACTTAGCACTTAACAACCGTGGCATGAAGGTCGTACAATGGGACAAAGCTGGACTTAACACAACTGCCTTGGTTAGTTAGCAACAGAAATTTGGGGCCTCAACTGTGGTTGTAAGTCAAGGACGACCTGAAATGATGGGGTACAGCCCCCCCTCCCCACCAAGACAATCTCTTAAGGAGAAACCCTCGTCAACCTCTCTGCAGCTCCCCAAATTCCTGCACCCAGGTAAGGGACCTCACTTAGCGACCCCCGTTTCTCTGGGCCGGAACAAGTGACTCACTTTCTTCCTACAATTTTTTTCTTTAGGAGGTGAACATGGCCCGCACCAGGGAGCTCCACTCGATCCAGCGTTCAGCTTCCACCCTGGATTCAATCCCTTCTCTTTGCCAAGCTCGGAAGAAATTTCTGGGAACTTCTAGAAACCGGGAGATGGTGAGTTCTAGTCCCGCTTTAGGCCTGAAAGCCAGCTGAGTGACTTGGGGCCCATCAGCAGCAGGCTGATGGGAGTTCTAGTCCTGCCTTAGGCACGAAAGCCAGTTAGGTGGACTTCCCTCTCAGCCCAACCCACCTCACAGGATCGTTGTAGTAGGGGAAATAGGAGGAGGAAGGCGTATTAAATATGTCCGCTGCCTTGTTTAGTAAAAAGTGATAAAGGCGGGACATCAACAAATAACCCCCCCAAAAAATGGTGATCGAATTTCCTTGGAAATTAGCTGGCTGGTACAAAGGGCCAGTTGAGTTGTTTTTTCGCCAGCTAAAAAACAATAATCTCGTATTTCAGCCCACCCGAAAAGCGCCGAGATAAACGGCATATAAATTTAATACCCAAACGAGCAAATAAACTTAAGCCGCAGAGGTCGAAGTAGTAATGCGGGAAATTCCAGGCCCCTCTTCCCAGCGTGTGATGTCCTAACCCTGGTTGGAATAAACCACCTTGCTATTTTCCTAGAGAAAGGGGTCTCCAAACTTGGCACCTTGAGCACTTCAGTCCCCAGAATTTCCCAGCCGGCATGACTTAAAAAGTTGCCAAGGTTGGACACCCCTTACTCTAGAAAAATAAGAGCATTTTATGGACCGGCTGAGGAATTCTGGGAATTGGAAGTCCACAAGTCTCTTAAAAATTGCCAATTTGGAGACCCCTGCCCTGGAGCGTGGCTGCCCAAGATTTACGATTAGATGGCTTCTTGTGGGTCCCACCCTCAACTGATCAAACATTCAACCACAGCCTAGCTGCCTTCCTTCGGGATTACTCCAGAGGCCGTGTTAGTGAGCATTCCCAACGCTTGAGGAAGAGGTGGAGCTCCGTCCACCAGCTATCTGGAGGAGGAGGAGGAGGAGGAGGTGGAGATGGTTCTGGGTCCCCACCCTTGCCCTGGGAAGGGAGGAGGAGATCAGGAGGAAAAAGGCCCAGCGAAATTCAACGCCTGGGATTCAGATTTCACAACAAAGGAGCGCTAAGCCTTCCACGTTGTGTGGGCTGAAGAAGAGGGAGGGACGACTCCAGCTGGGGAAAAGGAGGGCCCGTGGAAGCAGGGAAAGAGCCACGGGGACATCTGGGCTGGGTGGAGGCTCCGTCAGACCTCCCTTGAAAAGATGCGGCGGGCGGGGAAGTTCTCCCCATTGAGGTTCTTCTAAACTGCCCCCAAAACCCAGCAGAGATGATGATCAGTTGCCTAGAAGAAGAATGATTCTCAACCTTGGTCCCTTTCAGGCGTGTGGACCTCAACTCCCACAATTCCCCAGCCAGCTGGCTGGGGAATTGTGGGAGTTGAAGTCCACACGCCTGAAAGGGACCAAGGTTGAGAAACAATGGCCTAAGCCCTAGAGCGTCTCATGGCTTGGTTGGAGAAAGGAGAAGGAAGACCCCGGGGTCCTCTGGTGCTCCCTGAGCTGGGTGGTTTTCTTGCAGATGTTTCGTGACCCCACTGGGTAACATCATCAGTGCTCGGGGGGGAGTGGGGTTCACGGAGGAGGAGCAGGAGGACTGTGAAGTCCTTGGTGCTCTCTCAGCTTGGTGGGTTTCCATCCAGGCGTTTTGCGACCCAAACTAACGAACACCGTCAGGGCTCCTCACATTTGGTCTACTGAGCAGTGATGATGTTGCCTAGGTGGGTCACGAAACGTCTGCGAGAAACCCACCAAGCTCAGACGGTACCAAGAGAACACACACCCCCCCCAATTTCAACCCTGAGCTACAAATATTCTCTCCGGTTGGTAGGTTGCCCACCTCCCCGGCTTTTTTGGCACGCTCAGAAAATTCTGCCAAGCTCAGAAAATTCTGCCAACTCCGAAGAAAGCAGAACGCAGCTCACCCGCTCATCTCTAGCCCCCCCCCCCCAAGGACGGCCCAGGACCCCAGGGGAATAAAGTGGGTGGTGGGACAGACCAGGGTGGGTGGGGGTGGCATCTCCTTTGTTGGCCGGTCAAAGCTGGGGGGAGGGGGGAGCAGAAGGGAGCTACGACTCTTGCTGGTCCGGCTGCCTTTGGGGGTTGGTGGGAATTTACACCTGGCCAGGAGCATTTGGGGGGGGGGGAGCCCTCCCAGCCCCCATTTTGCAAAACCCTCCCCCTTGCATTCCCCAGATTCCAAGGGTCCCCCCCCCTCCCCGGTGCAGAAACGGCTGGGGGGGGGAGCAGCAGGTGAAATCCCCCCTACTCAGGATGGGGTTTAAGTTTCATCCTTGCAGAGCTGGGGAGGACGGGCTGCTTAGGATTCAGGAGACCCCCGACTCTCAGGGCTGCATCCCCCATCGTCCCTTTTGAGACCACGTCCCCCCAGCCTCGCCAGGGATGACGGGGAGCGACTTCCCGCTCCCTTCGTAAGGCTGCGCATCCAAGCGTTGGCAAGCGCCCGGATAGCCTGCGGCGGCAGCTGGAGGCTCTACCTCTCTCCCTGCCTAGCCGGAGCCAAGGGGTCTGTCCAGCGGGCGCGCTCAGCCCATGCCCAGAGGACCGCCTTGCCCTTACCTCTTGCTGGGCGTGCCTCCTCCTCCTCCCGCGGCTCCTCCGGCCGCTCCGCCGCCGCCGCCTCCCCGGTCGCGCTGCCGCCGGTTCTTGAACCAGTTGCTGACCTGGGTGAGGGAGAGGCCGGTGTCGCGGGCCAGGCGGCGCTTCTGCTCGGGGCTCGGGTAGCGGCTGCGGCCGTAGGAGTCGCGCAGGGCGGCCCGGGAGCGGCGCTTGAAGCAGTAGACCGTCTCCTCGCCGTCCCAGATGGTGGCCGGCAGCGGGAACTTCTTGCGCAGCCGGTACTTGTCGACGGCGCCCAGCGCCCGGCCCCGCGCCGCCTCCGCCTCCCGGTAGCGCGCCCGCAGGTAGAGGTCCTGCAGGAAAGGGTGGTGGGGCGCCCCGAAGGGCCGGCTCTGCACCAGCCGGTACAGCTCCGCGAAGTCGCCCCGCTCGAAGGCGAGCAGCGCCCGCGCCTTGGCCAGGCTCTCGCCGCCGCCCGACGCCTCCAGCCGCGAAGCCTCCTCGGCCGGCAGCGAGCCCAGGAAGCGGCCCAGCCGGCCCGGGTCTCCCGCCTGCAGCAGCGCCTCGCACACGCACGAGACCTGCTCGGCCGAGAAGCGCGGCAGGCCGGCGGCCGGAGTAGCGGGAGCGGCCGGAGCCGCAGCAGCAGCAGGAGGAGGAGAAGCCGCCGCCGCCGCCGCTGCTGCTGTTGCTGCGGGAGGAGCCGCGGCGGGCTCCGCGCGGGACGGGGCGGGCGACGAAGTTGGCAAAAGTTTGTGCGGCTCTGCTCCGGCGCTAGCCGCGGGCGGCGGGGCGGCGGGTGGGCCGCGGCCGGGAGGCTCGGCGGGG